ATTCAGCATCTTTTATTTTAAAGCCTGGTCACCAACATTGAACAGAGCAGTGGTTTGGCCATTACTGTAGGTAAGAAAAATGCAGCCTCTGACTTCCTAGTGAGTAGCCTTTTGTAGGAAAATAGGTATCTTTCAGCATCCTTAGGAGAAGTGGTAATAAATACCATTCTGATATGGATATGAAAATGAAACCTAGCAATGTGATGAATTGAAAGTATGGTAAAAGAAAAAGATATTTCAAATGTACGTCTCTATGCTTTTATTTGTCTTTAACAATAGAAATTGGAGTGTACTAAAATGCTACATAAGAAATTATAAATAATCAGTGGAAGTATACAAGCTTGAGTATTTATCACAGCATTTTTTGGAATGGAACTGACTTTTCTTTTGCCTCTTACTTACCTAACACCTTTGCTGTTACACATTGTGTTCTGAGTTTGGGGTGTATTTGCTTGATATACCTGTCACTTTGTATATAAAATGTAATATTTAGAAATTCAATGATCAGGGAAAATATTGGTGTTATTGCTTGTTACAGGGAAAAAAAGAAAGACCTTATTTCTAGATTATTGTAATTATTATTGCTAACTACAAGTGCAAGTTTATCTGTTTATCAGCTACCTGTCTGCAAACAATGCTGAATGCAATAGATGCATGTTGACTATTGTTCAAAAATAGTTATCATTGAGTTTCCTTTTCTTAATTTAAATGTTAGGATAATTTCATCACTTCTTCTTCAAGTTGTAATTTACCCTAGATTTTCCTTAGAGACCTTCCACTGTCCTACTCCCTAATGCTTACGTTTCAGTGAGAGATCCCGACTTCTTTTTGTTTCTGTACTGGACCTCTTTGAACATGCCCCATTTCACCTCTGATTTGCTTTTGCAGAATCTGCTCTGTGCCTCAGTACACCCCTTAGCCCTGTTCTTCTGCAAATTTCTAGAAGCTGCTTCTCTTTTATAGCTATGGCATCTAAATACCACAAATGGGGGTGACCACAGACAGAGTCAAACACTTTCAGCTTTTCTGTGTTAAGTTTTCCTTAGTTTGTTTCTTTCTTCCTCTTTCTCATGTTTACTTGCCCCAAGGACATGCCTGCATTTTTACCCTTCCCTCCCTCACTTCTCTCCTACTCCCATGACAAGGTCACAGTAGAGAAGGTTGCTCCTTCAAGGGAGGACCTTATTAAACCAGTAGGCCCTAAACATCAGTCTAGGATGCTGTCTGGGCTTTTCTTAACCACAACTCTTTTGTGAACCTTTCCCACACCCTGAAGTGGAGAGCGTCACCTCAGCTTTTATTAGCCATAGCTTATAGTTGGTTTGGCAGATAAACAATCTTTGACCAAATCTAATCCAATCACCCCAGAGACCTGTAGATTAGGAGAAACAGTTTAGAGAGGAGCTTACAGACATATGGAGCTGCTTCTTTTCACTGGAGAGAGCTGCCTGTGTGTTGTGCCCATCCTGTGGCAATTATTGCCTCTCCCAGGCATCATGCCTCATAGATGACAAGCACCAAGCTGACAAAAGACTGGCCTACAGTGAGAAAGTATGTAAGAAATGAAGAATCACAGAAATGTTAGAAAGTGCTTCTTGCTTTTAATTTGAGGACCAGGCAGTAATTCAGCATGGCTGGGAGGACTAACATGTTTGCCATATTTGTGGTACAGCAAAGTGAGTCATGGACAACATGCTTCTCAAACTGGCGAGCTTCCCAGCCTCATCCCTGGTGTGTCTTCCTGATGCCTCCCTGTTCCTACTGCCCCTGCCAAACCCCATGGCTTGAGCCCAGCAGAGCCTGTGCTGCTGCAGGTCACTGACCCCCAGGCTGCAAACCATCTTCTTCAGCAACCAGTGCTATTGGGCTCTGCAGTCTCATATATACTTGATAGCAGTGATTTTGCCTCATGATCTCTACTCCTGAAAGCCCTAGGTGAAACAAAGAGTATTCCCCATGACTCTGTGTCACTTAATGGAGATGACTGGTGCGAGACAGGCTATAGACTAAGTCAGTCTGTGAAGGAGAGAGTAGTTTATCTTTGTCTGAAACAGAGCCAAGAACAATATATCCATGTCCTTACATATCTAACTCTAAGGACTGACTCAGGATTTGTCTTGCTGAAGTGTAATTTTGGAAGTTGAGGTATGGAAGTCGATTTTCTTCAATAAAATAAAAGTGATGGCTAGCCCTGTTGTTTTTCCTGTATTTTTGCTGCTTGTAGAACAGTTAATGCAATACTTTGCCGAAGTCTCATGTGATGTTGTTATGTTACCATGACACACATACGAAAATAAAAGCACTGTTGTCAGGGTGATGTAGCCAGATTATTACCACCCTGTTTTTCCAGTTTTCAGCTAAAAAACATGTAATATTTTTTTATGTTTTAACTAAAAGTTTTAATGTCATTTTAAGTAATGAAGAAAATAGCCAAGTGATCACATGCAAATTCACATAAACAAGGTAGTATGAATTGAACAGATAGCACTGAAAATAGGTTTGTCCTTCAGGTTCTACTAGGGACAATGGTGAGAATGGAGGAGAGGATTTTGTAATGATGAGAACCACTTTGATATTATTACTTGAAATAGCTGCAAGCAGAAGCCATAGATAATAATAATCTTCAAACTGTAGAGGTTGAAAGCTCCAAGAAGCCAAGAATGACTGCAGCTGCCTTGAGTAATGGTGGAACAAAGCCATATAGTTGTGAATAGTTTATGCAGATGAAATATAATCAGAGTCAAAATGTGCAGTCATCAGGTTTGAGATCCAAGAAGCAGGTGGTACACATGTCTTTCTCAGGGTTTTGGAGGGGTTCCCTGGCATCAACCATCTCAAAGAATCATAGACTAAAGATACGGTTTTGATATCTACAATTAGATAACACAAGGGGACCGTCACTTCAAACACAAAATTATTCCTTGCCTACAGTCTTCTCCAGACATTCAATGAGGCAGATTGTTTCTGTTTTAAAATAATGCCTCAGAACTCAATGCCACTTTTTTTGGAAGTGCTAAATGGAAGCTAATGACAGAGAGGAAATTATTTCCAAGTTTTGCAACTGGCAACCATTACCAGAGGATCCATGAGCTTTTCAAATCCATTTTTATGTACTTTAAATCGTGACTTGTCAAGAACTGGGCAACCAAATGTGTAGAGAATGTGGCCAAGGTAGCCCACTGCTCCTGTATTATTTATGACCTGATCATAGCATTTGCAAATCTCTTTACTGTTTATAAAAAAAACTGCATTAAAAATTTCACCAATAATGTTTTGCTTCTGTATTCCTAGAAGAAAATGACTACTTCAATTATTAATTTTTTAATAGCCCTGCAGTTTCAGTGGTCATCTAGGGACACTACAGTGTGATAGCGTTTCTTAACTTCTACTAAGCTTAAGTACTGAATAAATCACTAAAGTTTTGCTTCCTGAAATTTGAGAGGAAATAACATTTTAAGGAAGAAGAAACAGTAACAATATTGAATAAACAATTTTGTGACTTTTGAGACACCTGACTATTTTTCTATAGCAAATGAAAACATTAAATTACCACATATATTGAGTCTGGATCTGAAAGCGTCTCTGTTCCTTCTTGACCAAAGGAGAATTTTACTGACTAATTAGCATAATATGTGATCAATTTTCTCTTTTCCATTCCTAAGAAATAATTGAATATATGCATATATGTACAGTCCAATGCAGCATGGACTCTAGAGAGCATCAGCTGAGCAGCTACCCTTCCATTTTCACTTTCAGTTGCCAACTTAAAAAACCGTACAGCAGATACTGAGTCAGTGTAAATGGTGAGCCCAGGCATTAGTCCATCTTCTTTAAATCCTTTCATTATAAATTCTGTTATTAGAAATTAAAAACTTGATATGCTGTCACTTCAGTCCACTTTCCTTACCTGCCTATTCATGCTGTTCATTAGCTATTCACTGCATGTGTGTGTTTATTAACCATTCTGTAATCCTGCCTTTTTTTCCATTTTTCATGGTTTAATTATTCCAGCTGGAAATTAGTAAAGCTGCCAAAAGATTAAAGAAATGGCTTCTTCATTATTTAAGTAATGATTGCCCATCACTGGTCAGACATGTGGATTGGGATTCGGGTGACCACATATCAATATATACAATTTTGACATCTGTGTCTAAGCTAGTCCTCACAGGCTCACTTTATAGACAACGGAGAGAAAAAAGCGTTTTTAGGATGCAATGTCATCCCAAATTAAGCTTCTAAAATAGATGAGATAATTTGCACCCTAAAATTGCTACTTTTAGTTGACTGTAAATGGAAACAAGAGCGACTAGCTCAGATGTTTGCTTTGTAGATGTCCAAAGGTAGATGAGATGAATCCCATCCCTCTGCTCAAATTAATCATAAATGCCCAGAGGTTTTGTGCGATGACACTTCTAATGTGAATGTACTGTGCCTGCATTTTTTGATGTAAAGGACATAGTGCCATTCAATGCTCTGCACAGATGATCAAGTCCTGTTCAACACAAGCACCAAAAGCAGTACAGTCATGTCAGGACTACATTTCAAATGGATTAGATTACCCTGCTTTTCACCTTGGCTAAGTAGTACCGGGGTATTAGCATGTCCACAGTCTTTCCAGAACGGATCAGTTTTGGGGACATCATTAATACTCCAATTGTAGACATACAGAATTGGTGTTTAATGTTTATGTTGGAAGATAAATGTAATGGCCTTGACCAGATTAGGTCCTGCTATGCAAAGCAGTGTATATCATATTACAAATAATAATAATACCTATTCTTGCCCCAGCAAGCTCACAAGGAGCTAGTTTATAAACAATGAAAATGGAGGAACCTGAATGGAAGTAGTATTATTTAGGAATGACACATGGCAATGACCTCTTGCATTAAAGAGGGTTGAAAAAGGTGACAGATGTTGAATGCTGAAACATACTTTAGATTCTGCAGTTAATTTAGGACATTGCCTTAATGATGATTTTTACTGTGGGTTTTTCCCCTTAGGATGATTTCCAACATGCAGCCTCAGAAACCAACTGGGAGTCAGTCACAAGCTCTGTCTCAGTAAGTAATTTGTTACTATTTTGCCCATGGATGGGTTGATAGGATGGCTTGAATCCAACTCACTGAAATGGCACCTGCACAGAGGAACCATATATTCACCTTTGGCAGAGGATGAAATAAGTGTTTATCCAACCCATACTGGAGTCAACCAGTGTGTTTTTAAGGATAAAAGTTTCAGGATATGCCATCAGCTGTTGTAACCACATGAGACAGCCATTGGGAAACTTTTCTTGCTTTCAAACTCATCCTGCCAAGATGAAAATACAAGATATAAACTCCTTACAATCTTCAGTTGTAAAATATCTTGACATAAATAGAAGACTATACTTAAAACAGGCTGGCAGGAAAATGGATCTAGCTTTTCATTATCAATACTGAGATTTTTTTTAAGTGTTTGTAATAAAATCTTCTCTCTGAAGTCTCCATATTCAGCAGTGAAATGTGACAGGGAAAAAAAATAAGGAAAACAAGTAATCCAGTATAAAATTCAATTTTTCTCTTCATTATATTTGATTTGTATCATTGGCCAAAAATCCGTCCCCTCTTTCATTTCCCAAGTTAAATGCTGGGGAGTGGCAATGTAGCATCAGAATTTGTAATATGGGCAGTCCTCTTCTGTGCACTCTGCTGGCTGGTCAGCACCATGCCACAGCTCTTGTAAACTCTTAAAACACATGAGATGAGGACAAGTGCTCAAAGCAGACTTGAGACCAGTCTTTGGAGCATTCATGGAAGAGGGTTCAGTGATGGCGTATTTGTTAAAGTAGCTACCAGGAGTTGCCAGTGGAGGAGCAGTAAATAAAATACACGTAAATTCTACTGATTAGTGTCCAAGCCAGGCAGTGAGAGAAAATTCTGTATTGCCAAAATTGGAAGAAGTTAAGCCAATCTCACTCGTGTTTGCCTCTGAGTTTGCAAATGACACTTTTCCTTCATGATACAATGCATTGGTAGCCTTGAACTAATTGTGCTGGAAGTCCTGAGTAGTAATGTTAGCAGGGCTGAAATCCACTGGATGTGCCAAGCAGGAGATGCTAAAACACTGTTTTACTGAAAGACATAAACTCATTTTTCATTCTAATATGGTGTTGCAAAAAAAAAAATCTATGTGATAGAATATTTTGTTTAAAAATATGGTAGGCTGATGTTTAAAAGTGTAAGCCTAGGGCTCCCTCATCAGGTAACTATGAAAATGAGATCTAGTATGTGGTAAACGCCATGTTAGTTATCCTCCTTAACATTTTAAGATACACAATACACCAAACAATAATCCAGTATTCTTTTTGTACTGAAAAAAAAAAGTTTATTTATCTTTCACATCTATTTGTTTCTGAAAAGTTGTTGTTAATGTGTTACAGGTAGGGAAGTTCAGTACAAATATTACAGGTAGCAAGCTGATGCCCAAGGTCACATGGAGACCTACAGCTAAACCAGAAGGAGAACCCCAGTTTCATTGGGTTTTGCCATACTATCCCCTGTCTAATAAAACATACCTTCTTCCACCGGGCATGCATTGCACCCACTAGCCCTCTCTTATCCTGAGGGAAAATAAGGTGGAGAGGTTGAGTAATTTTTCCCAAAGGCACCAAGGAAAAAGTCTGAGGACATTCAAATTCTTCAGGAGAGAAAGGTTCAGGGATCCTGCTATGGTCCTGAGGGACGGAAGGACAAACTCAGACCTGTCAGTTGCCGACAAGCTGGCATACTGATACTCAGTTCTGCTGATACTCAGTTAACATGGCAGATCTAAGTTTTGCCCCTCAAACCCACAGGCAACCCAAAGATTCATTTTAGGATCTGGATACATTACAACTCAGAATGAAAATTTGAGAGTGAGCAAATTCTTTCTTCCATGGCTGAGGTCATATCACAGAATCATATTTTGGGTTTTTTTTTCTCAGAAAGCAAAGACCAATACTTCTGCCCTTAACCCAGCATGACAAACCCAGAAAAAAAGGAAACAAAATTCACACCTTATTAGGTTAGTTTCCATTAGTTGTGAAGTAATGTTATGACCAACAGACAACTGTGATGCACATTGAACTCCCTGTCAGCTTCACAATACAGCTAGAAAATAGAAAAGAACAGGGGAACAGAAATTAAGGGTAAGAGCACTGACAAAAAAAAGATACTTTGTATCCCATGAAATGAAAAATGCGTTCAGAGCTTTTAAGAAACGTAGAAGAGGTACATAACATGGAAGATCTTTGCTCTTCATTGCTTCTTGCATTTCACTCTTCCTCTTGCCCTCTCTTTGGATGCAATCTCAGAAGCCAGATTACGACAAGCGCAAGATCTTCCAAAGCTAGCGCCTTGTTCCTGGCAGGTCAAAAGAGAAGCAGTTGGGTTGGCAGGCTTTGAAGTTGCTTTTGGGCCTGTCACATGATGTCCCTGCCAGCAGGTTATCTGAGCTGTTGAAATAATTCCTCCTGACTTGGCTGTCACTGAGAAAAAGTTAAGCTTTCTTCTGTGTGTGAACGAGGTTGCACAAATCTCTTGAGTAGGAACTTTTATATGAAAAGAAAATGGGGAATCCCTGCTGCTTGTATGAGTTTGAAATGCCCCGCAAATTCACAACCTGACCTGTAGTTCTGTAATGAAATGCACAGTTGAACACATGAAGAAAAATTTTGCATCATCTAAGCCACACACCTATGGCCTGATTTTTATGCTGATGTTTCTTCAGCATCCTTGCACCATCTCCCTCACTTTTGAAAGGCAGTTGGGGACTGACATTTCCCTGTTGGGCTGCAGTCACAGATGACTCCTCAGTAAGCAAGTAGCATTTGGGTGCATTTTTCTTTTGTAACCTCGAAGACTGTGTTAGCACACTGCACAATACCCACCCGCAGCACAGTCTGTCCTGCAGCATTGTTTTAGATAACAATGCTGTGTTCATTTTACTGGTGTGAGCTTTTCAACTCCTGCCGCTCCCACCTCTCTGATGGTCTCTATACCAAGCCACTTAGAAGTCAGGAGAGATGCTTTGAGGTACGCCTTCTCTTTTAGTGGGTCATGAATTTTTACAGCCATCTGCACTTTGTCTCATTTAGCACTGCATTGTAGAGGCATTGCAGTTACAAGTGCACCCTCTGAAGCTTCTTGTGCTGTTCATTATAAGCAATGAAGCACAGCTATGCTTTCTTCACCGCACTATTGTAATGTTTTCTATTTCTCCTCTTTCTTGTTTTGAATAATTTGGACCGTTAATACTTTCAGCAAACATATGCAGTAAAATATCAAGGATTGTTACTTTTGTGATATAACTTACTGTTAAAGACAACTGTTTTATTTTAGAAGACATATATGCTTTAAAACTATTTTGGTAAGCATTGAAGGACACAATCCTGCAAACAAGTGAGTAACTTTACTCAAATCAGTTGACCTTCCCATTACTACCCAACCAAGTGAAGTTAATCCAAAGATTAATAGTTTAACATATGCATTTACTTGGGAGATGAGGCAAAAAAATTATTTTGGGGAGCCATTAATTTTAAATGGCATATTTCTGCTACATTACTTCAGAGCTGGGTTTCATGAGAAAAGAGGATTTCTAGGGTTTTTCCTCCAATGTTTTAAATTCTAAGACCAAAATCCAAACAACTCTTGTGCTATATTATGCTTCTCATTGGACAAAATCAGGTATTTTGATTGTGGTCCTTTATAAAGTAACAGATCTGCATTAATAGTTTTTCTTGCACATATTTTACACATAATATTAGCCTTTGTGCTTGGACAAGGGAAAAATTGTGATTCTAAATAATTATTATTAAAAATGTTTAAAGTCCTCTCCAGTAAAAATGAAATTTTTACAATCTTTCTGTCAAAGTCCAGTTGTGCCACAAGTTCAGTGGGAACCATATACGCTCAGAGAATGGTACCTGGCCCTTCCTGGTGGGAAATAATATTCCCTTTGATATTATGATATAACTGTGAGGATATCACTATGTCAGTAATCCCAATATTCATTGTTACCTTGCTGAGATCCAAATATCACATTTTTTCTTGTTTGCTTAGTAACTTGTATTTTTGGTAAAAGAGCGGGACAATTGGCATTTATCGGTGTTTCACAATACATTGAATTCCTGAGAATAAATGGCCATCTTTTCAAGTCTTTAACCAAGCCAAATTTGTTGTCCAAATTGACAGGGAAAGAAAGACAGTCTAGTGGACTTGTTGCCTTTGTCTTTCTCTGCTGTGGTTTCTGATCTGCCTATTATGGATTTACCAGCAGAGCTGGCAGAACTGTGAAGGCACCAGCCCAGCACTACAAGGCACCTCTGTTCTATGGTCATGCCCATCACAGTCATTTCAAAAGACATTTCCATTACAACTTTGTATATGTGCACACCATCATCCCCTTTGAGGAGTGGGTGTGCATGTTGACAGTCCAGCAGTGGCAGTGCTTCCACTCCCTGCACCTCCTCCAGGATTTGCTTGGGAAGTCCTTGGTGTTTCTTCTCCTTTCAAAAAGAAAACACAGGCATAACAAAGCCTGGCCCAGCTAAGGACTTCAAAAGATGGCCCAAAGTAGCTGTTTCAGTCAATAATGAGACAAGTTTCTCAGTAACTGTTTTCAGTTGTTCTAAGTGGTGCTGTAACTTATTCCAAGTACACTGAGATGTATGTCACTCTTAGGGGGTATCCTATCCCTCTCCATCAGTGACTGACCCTACGCTCACAGCGGAAGCACTGGATCAGACCATTGCTGCATTTGACACAGTGGAGGATCTGCTCAAACACTTTAACCCGGACTCCTGGCAAGAAGATCTTGAGAATTTGTACACAGACAGTGGCCACCATTATCGAGGCAGGAGCTACCATGACAGGAAGTCCAAAGGTAGGAAAAGACACTATATACATACTTGGGGGCAAGACCAGGATATTCCTTCACTCCTCATAGAAATGTCCATTGGTCAGGTATTAGATTCTGGTGCCCGTGTTCCTGTTGGAGTCACAGGGCAAGGTACCACCTATTAAAACCAGGGATAAGTCATTTAATCCTTAACCATTTTCTGACTGAGTAGAATCTCGCCTGAGAAATCAGACTGAAAACTGCCCATCGTCATGATGAATTCACAAATAAAAACATAGGCCCATGTGTAAAGGACAGATGGTTCTCAGCTTCACTCTCTTAAAGCCCTTGCTTTGTGTGTAAGGCATGGGGCTCCTAATTACCTGCACTATCATCCTCCTTTAAATACCCTGCTTAGGGATTGTTCTCTGTTGAGTGAGGAATAATCACTTTTATCACATTGTGCTTAGGGAAGCATCTGGTGCAGACACCTGTATGTGCAGCTGGTTTTTTAGGATGTGAACATCTCACTTTTTCATTATGTTGGTGGGGAACATTATTATGGTTTAACATCATTGTCTGTAACTGAGCAAAGCACATATTTCTGGGTTATGTTTCTTGTTTCCTTCTGTTAGTTCAAATAATCCACCAAATGGTAAAGCAAAGGGATGTTAAGTTAGCAGTACAAACCCATAATGATAAAGAAACACTTTTAAAAGAGACAGTCATGCTCTGGGGTAACCATGCACTGAAGGGCCTGATAAAATTGCCCTTTGTGTGCAAGTACAGATCTAGGAGGTGTGTTGGGGTTCTCCAGGATGACAGTTGCTGTAGTTTTCACAGAAGATCTGAAGTGAAATATTTTATTTGAGTTGTCTTGCTCATATTGTCTTCCATTTCCAACTTATGTATTCATGTGCATTCTTCTTTATAACTTTAAAATCGTAATGCCCAAATCATAGTTCTGATTCTGTGCAATCTACCATTTATTTGCATCTCAAATCCCATCCCCCCTATGTTAAGCATGAGAGAGAGGATTTTAATTCTGTGTTTGTAACTTACTTGCTATCAAATGATGAGGCTTTGATTTTAAAAAGGATATATAGGCTGCATCTGTATGAGGGCAAATAGTGTCAAGGAGTGTTCCCAGGCCCTGAAATCCAATCACCATATTGCTAAATTGTCAGCCTGGTCTCTGCTTAGTTTTGGCCTAAGCCAAGTGTCTTTCTCCCAGGTCATTGCTGGGCGTGAACCAGGAGTTGTCAGAGGCCAGCTGCCATTCCTGGTGGGTAGTTTACATGTGGCCACCTTGTCTTGCAGAGTAAGAGATAAATGGTAGGGATGTGGGCTGTCCCATGGCTGTTGACCTTTGTGCAGGAGAATAACCTCAGGCACATACAATGTATTAGCAAATGCGCAGCCAACTTGGCATACAGTTTCCAAGATATGTTGGCCGTCTCTGGTTTTGGGCTCAGCACTTCAAAGGCATCTGCGATAAAGCCCTGAGCACCCACTCAGTGAAAACTGAACCCCTTTTCTTTGTTCCCTTTTGGCACATCAGAAATTTCAGGCAACCACAACAGCCCGTGTTTTGTGAAAAACATCACCTAACTGCCACTGCGTCACTTCTGAGATCAGTTTGATCTCATTTAGGGGTCTGTGAAATGTGATCTGTGTCCCCCTTATTCCCAGGCTGGATTAGGCACCAATAGACATGTATACAAAAGAAATAAAGGGTCTGTTTTGATTTTAATAGAAGCTGATTAGAAACCTGGATCCTGTACTGGTTCTGCTTTCCAGTTTTGATTTGACTCTCAGATCATACTTGGCCTAGTACCCCATATATTTAAATGACCACATATATATAAAATAGCATTTGCTTCTTTATTGATGCTGATCATGTAGGCTAGAGGTATCAGTCTGATCTGGTAGTGCTTAGAAAATTCAGATGCATAAAGGTTTCTCCATTTCGTGTAAATGTAATTCAGCTTCTTGTGTAACAAAACACTATAAAAAAACATAAAGAGTTTTCCCATTATTATTTTAACACTTGATTTATTTTAATAGGATTTTTTTGTTGTTCTGGTTACAGGAATAAGAAAAAAAGTTTTATAACAGTTTTTCTTTTGTCTTCAAACTAAAGGCCAAATTCCCTGACTGTTAGCAGCCCTCTGGACAAAAGTACCTCACCACAATCAAATCCTTAAAAAAATTCAGTTAAGAATTTTTATTTAGTCCTAAACTTCTGACAAGATTAAAGGCTTGTTCTTGGATGATGTCAGGAGTAGGGAATAACTTTAACAAGTACTTAAATTAGAAATGCTTGGTGGGTTTTAAACACAGACTCTGTGGATCTCTGAAGAATGTTTAGAGGCACTGGGATGACCTTGTAGTGAAGAGAGCAATAGATTATATCATCATTTATTTCAGATATATATCTGTTTCTGCTTCCAGCTTGGGTTTTATTTTTTATCCTTAGTTAGAACAGCCCTGAGGCAGATAAGAACAATTTGATGTAATCTCTGCCTATCTTTCACAGCATTTTCAGAACATGTCATATAAATGGTATAAATGAATCACTAATGATTTCGCTCCTATCCAACTCTTTGCCCATACCAAATTGTGCCACAAAATTGAGCTTAAGAGGCAGTGTTGCTGAATACCAATTCTGATAACAGGGATATGTGATAAATGATATTTAAATGGTATGTTTTCTTAATTTGACAATCAATAATCTACAAAGATAAGGATCGGGGTCAAGGAAATAAGAAGTACAGTATTATAGCATAGCTGAAACTCACAGAATCACAGAATAGATGAAGTGGGAAGGCTTCTCAGGAGTTTGTCTAGTCCAACCCCCCTGCTCAAGGCAGGGTCACCAACAGCAGGTTGCTTGGGACCATGTCCAGTCAGGTTTTGAATATCTCCAAGGATGGAGACTGCACAACCTCTCTGGACAACCTGTGTTTGACCACGTCCTGGACAAACAAAAAAAAAGTTGTTTTTTTTTTTTAATGTTTAAGTAGGTTTTCCTATGTTACAATTTGAGTCCAGTACCTCTTGTCCTTTCAACAAAGACTCTGGCTCCACCTTCTTTACTCCCTCCCATCATGTATTTATACACATCAATATACATTTATACAGATCAATCCCTCCCTGGATACCTCCTGCAAGAACCTTAAAGATGAAGAGTGTGTTCAATTAAATCTATATGTATGATAACTCCATTCCATCTACAAAATCTGATCTCACACCTCAACAACACTGATGCAACTCATTGAGTTAAATGCATTTCTATTTTCACTATTGAAGTGAGATACTGGTATGAGGTGTGTCTCACTAATAACCACACAAAGTTTGAAATTTAATTCTACATAGGTTTAGTGAGGTTTGCTGTTAACCACTCCAGTAAAAGTTAACTATAGAATTGCAGTGAAACCCGGACTGGCAGAAAAGGGCAGAACAGAAGGGGGAAGACACGCGTTCACATTTTCAAAATCCTTAAATGAGAGGCCTTGTATAAAGTATAAACTGCAGTGTACACCTCCTACATGGAAATATGACAAGTAGATGTTTCAAATAACCTTTGCAGCAGTTGTAAATATACTCAAAAAAGTTTGCTAGCCATTGCTGCATTTTAGAAACTCTGAAAGTATGAATATTCAGCCTTAAGCTTATCCTAGACTCTTAGGAAAAAAAGCAGGTCATACCAAATAAAGTATATCCTTTAAAAGAATTCCTTTTGCATTGCTGTAATATGTTGTAGTGTCATAATAATTTGGCTATTACAAATATAAAACATCTCTAAAAGGATATCACTGGTTATTGGGTTATTTAATACTGTTCTTAGCAAGAACACAGGTAGATATAAAAAAGAAAACAGCCATACTCTACAATTATGTTGAACTTCTACACAAATAGGTTTCTCTCTAAAAGAATAATAAGAAGCTTCCAGATGTGTTTGAAGGACACCTCGTCATCCTACAGTTTAAATTTTTGAAAGCATCAATGTATCTGCTTGATAATATTAGAAGAGCTCCTCAGAGATACTGTTGTAAACAGTTCCAATCATCAGTTAAACATTAGCTTTTCCCACATGCTTGTTTGCATTTATCTTTTGTTGTTCACTCTAAAGTTTTACATCCTATTGAAAAAGGCTTTATAATTTTAAAAAGACCTCTGCCTGTGAATTGGCTTGTGTACAAATGAAGAAAGGAGGAAGAAAAAGTTCACTGTTTCTCATCATAGAAGTAGATCCAAATGTCTAGGGGATGGTACCTACAGAAAGGGGTCATCTTTGAAAAGGAATGGGTTTTGGGTTTGGGGGTTTTTTTGTACACATGTAGATTGATACATTCTGGTAATTAACAAGACTACACATGCCTCTGAGCTCATTTTCTTTTTTGGAAATGGTATGCAAGAAGCCTTTGGCTATCAGAAGAAATTAATCAGGTGGGTCATTCTTGCAATAACATCTGTCTGCAATGACAGCTTTACAAGTTAAATAAATAAACACTTGCTGGCATAGCCACACTGCTCTCTAGGAAAGTAGCGAGATGAGACCACAAGTCTTCATGGAATGTTTCTGCTATTGCCAAACAGGTTTCCAAGATCAGGCAAGTTTTGCCATGTCCTTAACAATAGTTTTTAATTGTCACTACTTACAATGGTCTAGCAAGAAGTTAAAATTTTAACTCGGGAATGTAATTTCTCAGGGGTTTGCAAACAGTGGCAAATAAATTACTGCAAATGTCCATGTACTCTTCCTTGAAAGGTCCTGGGATGGCTGCCAGCAAGTTTCAGTATACCAGACAGGGAGGGAGTGCAGGCATCACAAATGCTGAATGCCTGTTCATTCATGGCAAATGTGAATATTCCAAGTATATGGAATACCTTCTCAAATAGCTGCTAATTTAAAGTATTCCCTGTGCGTAAAAAACAGGGTATTTCTTCCACCCTTCTTTAGTTCGGAACCAAGTTGCCTGTTGCATGCAAACTACACACATTCATTCATTTCACAGTCTAATTCAGATCTATATCCGTAC